TCTCAGCCCGACGAACGGCTTTTGAGAATTCTGGAATAAATTTCATATTACCAATCTGTCAGTATCCCTGTTTTATTTTCCTATTTAAGTTATGGTGAAAATTATATTGAATTTACGATTCTAAAACAAATTAGGATTATAGTCATCCCAATCGGAGAGTAAATGTTAAAGTTATTCTATGTTTTTACTACGACATAAAAGATGGTTCAATCTCTACGAAGAACTTCCTGGGTGGCCAAAACAGTTGGAAGTTGAGGAACTGAAAGATAAAAATAAATTTGGTTTTTTTGATTAAAGTATTCTTTTAGGCTTGTATTGGCAAATTAGGGCCATGTGTATCAGGCAAAAGCAAAAATTTACAAGTTAAAAATAAAATTACCCGTATTTTTCAATTTCTAGAATCAGAATCTGAGCATTAAAAGAGAAACCAAAAAAAAAATTTTATTTTTTGACCGGTATTATTGTTAAACACAAGAAGAAGTAAGCGTTTACCGAAAAATCCTCGGAATTTGCGACTAGGTACGAGGTACATTAATTTTCTATCCTGATAACGCTGGGCCTCATGTTGCACGATCGGTTAAAAACTATTTGGAAAACAGCGGCTGGAAATGTGTGCCTCACCCGGCTTATAGCTAAAACCTTACCCCTTCTGACTAACATTAGTTCCGGTCGATGCAGACCGCCCTCAATGGAATACGGTGCATATCAGCACAGGGTATCAAAAATTGGTTTGATTCATTCTTGGGCGCCAAGTCAGCGCAGTTATTTTGGACGGACTCAATAGAAATACAGGAAAATGTTATAGTTTAAGATGGGCAGTTGTTTTTTATAATAATATTGAACATGTTTTTCTTAAAAAAACGTTAATAAACGAAAATAGTTATAGACCTAATAACAATACTGTAAACTAAATTTTTTCAGTAAATCACCCTTTTTTAATACCTGTCAGTTATGCCAAATTGCAAATTATCTCATATTTAGCAAATTAAGTATTAATTAAGTTAACTGTGCCAAGAGGTGTTTGCCTCTATTCAAATAAATATGTTTGCATATCGCACCTTCATTTGAGTAAAATATGAAAAATGCCAGAACTTATACTCAAGGACGAAATCAACTAACTAGCGGCTGAACAAGCGTCTAAGGGGCATAGACGCATACAAACATGCAGCAGTGTAACGGCAACTAAAGTGGAACAGAAAAGGATTAGTTAAATTGCCTAATGGGGCAACAAAAACAGTTAAGACGCATAAGGGCGCGGGTGGCGTGTAAAATGCAAATGAAAAGTAAAAATTGCCAACAAAAGCACAAACAAAAACTAAAAAAAAGTGACAGCCACCACAACCGAATGGGAGTTGAATTTATGGCTTGACCCAGAAATGACCTACATAAATACAATTGCTAAAGGATGTGGAACTAAGCGAGTAAGTTAATTAAAACAAATAGGAACTTGAAATATTCACCGAAATTCATAAAACGAAAGGTGAGTTGATTAATGCGAAATTGTATGGCGAATTTCGAATAGGAGCAGACATGCGAGCGCTGAAAAAGGATGGCACCCAGGAATGCTACATAGAAATAGAAATAACAGCAACAATAAAAAGTTAGGAAAATATTCGTTTGAATGGAAAACTGTTCAACTGCCGCTTATCAGCCCAGTATCAAGCGTATCATAAATTTTGGCTAACCTATTTTCACTGTCGTGTTCTCAGTCAAAACACAAAATTCTTTCACTCATTCATTTGGTCGGACCGTGGAGTTGGGCGGAAAATTCGAGTTTGTTTCGTCGCACTGTATGAGGCGGCGGTTTTGGCGACGCTGACATTGTCGCCATGAAAACTGAAGTCAATGTAAATATTTGTTATATGTACAAACATATATACTTAAATTTATACTCTTATATACGAACTTCAACTATTTTCTTACATATGTATATAAGTATATTGTTATTGCCATAAAACGCGTCGTTTTACGTATCCTGTCAACTTTTTATTGGTTTGTTCTACTTAGTTGCCTGTAACTCCACATAAAAGCTCCCATTGGTATTACGCTAGAGCTTGCCAAAGGCGCTTAGTTACACTAGTGCTTAATATCGATTGAATTAGCGCGGGAAACTAAGGACGCGTGCCATATATTGCGGATACATTAAAATATTTCGGTAAACAGGATAAAATGCTCGTCTCGTTCTTGCTTTAAGCGAATTTGTTGTTGCCTCTCCCTTGTAATGCTAATCTTAGCATCAACTGGTGCCACTTTGACTGCACATTATGTTGATGAGACTGAACATAGAAGTATTTCCTGCAGTGCTGCTGGATTATTATCATGTTGAAACGTTTTTGATAAGGCGAAGTTAGTTCAAATAATGGTTGGTTATGTTATTTATAGTGCAAATATAAACATACATATGTATGTATATTCTAATAAATTTTTGTTTTCTGATACAATATGATTTTGTACCCATTTTAAAACGTTTCCGTATTTATTTGTAATATAATGTAAAAACAAGAAAACACGTTAACTTCAGTTGCACCGAAGCTAGAATACCCTTCACAAACAAAAAAGTTGCTATACAAGAATTCAGTTTTGATCAAGAGGTTTGCAAGGCAGCTATATGCTATAGTGGTTTGATATTAACAATTTATTCGGATATTGTAGCTTTGCCTTGGATAATAATCTATGGGAGATTTTGTGAAGATATTTTGTCAAATACAAAAGTTTTCCTTACACGCACTAGATTCCGATCGTTCAGTTTGTATTGCAGCTATACAGTTATATGTTATAGTCCGTTCTAAAAAATTCATTCAGATATTGGAGCATTGCCTCGAATATTAGCTCATGCCATTATTCGTGAAGATATTTTGTCAAACAAAAAAGTTTTCCATACAAGAACTTGATTTTGATCGTTCAGTTTGTATGCCAGTTATATGTTATAGTCGTCCGATATCCGCAGTTCTTGGGAGAAACGGACGTGTGGGAAATTTCAGAGATATCTCTCAAAACTGAGGGACAAGTTCGCGTATAAAAGACAGACAGACAGACGGTCAGACGAACATGACTAACTCATCTCATCATGCTGATCATTTATTCATATATATATTTTATAGGGTATAACAGAATAAGGTAAATAAAAAAACAAATTCCTGCTTTTTAAGGAACATTTTTGGTCAATACAAGTAATTAAGTCTAATTTTCCAGACACTCAATTAACGAATGTTTCTAATTGAATACTTTACCAAAACGAACAAAATTAACGCACAGAAATCGAGTAAATTAATGACGAATGTACAAATAATTCCTGTTATAGTAACCATTATTACCGTCGGATTACAACCACGCCTATTTCCCATATAACACCACTCTCAATTTCATCTAAGTTTTTCACTTTCCACTATGCAAATCAAGCAACAATGATTATATCGGGGTAAAACTTTGCGTGAGTAATACGTTTAAAGTATGCCACCTTGTGACCAAAAATTATCTAAATCGAACCTAAACTGTTCAAGCCCCTAGGTACTGAATATGTGGCCCAGTGCCTATAGTTGACCTTCTACCGAAAATATCGGTCAATCCACAAAGAAATCTCAAACGAGTATACCATTTGGCTTTGCGAGAGTATAAAATGTTCGGTTGCATCCGAACTTAGCCCTTCCTTACATGTAACAAGTAAATTAAGCTTCTCTGACCCTGTCGTATTACATGCCACCATGACAGTTATAGTGATACATTATTATTGATTTTTATCATCAAATTTGGAAATCGGGACTCTCCCTAAATACATTATTTTTTCTTTTTTGGTTATTAGGTTAGGCTTGTAACCTTAACTTAAAATAAAAGGTCTATCCAAAAAGATTTCCACTATGTCATATCTAAATACTCCTAACTATGTACTCCTGAAATAGCGAGAGAGCGTTTTGAGACTTTCACAAAATTGTTAAGGCGGCTAATATCAATTCCGAAGATATGACTACCGAGACCGACCACAATCTTGCAAAAACTAGACGATTGAGGTAAAAGTGCTTGGATGTTTCCCATCAGCTTTCTTCACACAACTTTGAAAATTGACAATTAGCGTCCAACAAGATTTTCAGCTTTAGCGCATGTACGCCTATTGGATAATGTTCAGTAAGCAAGTAGTTCAGTGGATCTCCTGCATTTTTTAGGCAATAAGGATCTCATAGTCGCGCAAGAGCTGGTTGTTGACCAGCAGCTCGTCAGCTTTACATCTTCCAGCGATTCCGCTATGACCAGACACTTAAACGAGTCTAATAATGATTTAGCTTGATGACATCGAGAGTGAGGACAGACAGCACCAGTGAGCGAGCTCAAATGGTATTGCCTTCCAGCCTCCTGCTGTCGGAGTGAGTGTTCATCTCCTGGGTCGGCTTTAGAATAACGTCCCAGGCTTTCGGGGATAAAATGGGTATGGGCGGATAGAGGAGATCCTCCAGATCAGCTTTCCCCATCTCCCTGAAAGAGGATGCACTTCGAAGCAAAATATCTACTGCTGCCTTAACGTCAGCCACCTTGGCCCTCCTCTTCTTTTGGAGAAATATTTTAATATAAATTCGTTATAAGGTGAGAAAACGCATGAAAAGAATAATCGTTATAAACAGAGCAAAACATACTGAAATTTGAAAAAAATTGAAATTAACTCGTAAATTAACTATGTCTGTAATAGCTCATTTAGAGAGACATTACTAATTCAAATGCTAACAACATAAGTATCTAACATAAAATGTATTTTATCACTGCCTAACAGAGCGCCTCATCTCCCGTTGTATTGAATGACTAACAGACTCGGAAGTGCATGAGTATGTAAGCGCTCTGTTAAGCGGTCATCAACATGCTCATTTGTTCAGCACCAGCGATGATGTCATTAAATGAGGAAGCCCTCAACACCGGCACCCAACCAAGCAGTAGTTGGTCGCTTAACAGAACGCCGCGCTGCCTGCGCTCAAAAACCCCAATACGTTGTGCAGATTTGTGTGCGTGTGAGCATACGCATACGTCATCGTGTCACTACAAAAGCGGGCGATGAACAGCTGTTCGCATATCGTCCGCTGTCTGTGGAAAACCTGACTAAACGCCAACATTAATAGCGCTCATGGAGAGAACTCCAAAAGTGGCGCGCCAAGCAGCGCGGCCATGCGCAGCGCAGCGCCGGTGGTTGTGACTGCAGCGCGGCACGAATGGGCTTGTATTCGGTATTCTGCAGCACGGCCGACGTGTGCCGGCGACAGCGTCGAACACAATTCCGATTTGAATTTCATTCAGTCTGCAAAAGTATCTACAGCGTTTCGGTTGTGTTTCAGCGGCGCCGTTAACGTAATTTGCTCCACGTAGGGTTGTAGTAGCATACAGAAATTATAATTGACGCGCGTTCAAAATTTTCCCCTCTAAGTCGTGAGGTGTGTGGAAATAATCGAAAAAAGAGTTTCTAAAATATTCGTACTAATTGTTAAAAGCATAAAAGGTGTGAGGAAATAAAAAGCAAAATTTTATGTTTACATTGAAAAAATGCTCTTCTTCTTTTTCTACAATTTGATTGCGAAACCAGAGAGAAAGGTCGCTTACGCACAAGAATCGAATGCATAGAAAGCGAAACTTTCAGCGCCAATGCATTTGACGTTTATTCTTGTTGTTTATTGATGTGTGTGTGTTGTTGTTGTTGGTTTGTTTTCGATAACACTGGCGTGCGTTGGGTGTTGGGCGCACCCCAAAAGGCAGTCAAGTGTAAGCGCGGCATTGTTAGTAGGCAGCGCGTTGTTGTAAATGTTCGTATGTAATGCAGAACGCTTATTGCGCTTGAACTGTGTGTTGTGCTCGCCCGTTCTTATCTGCATACCACCAAATACATGAATAAGTCTATTGGTATTTGTGTTTTTGTTTAACAATTTTTGCCGTTTTTTGTTGCTGTTTGTTGTGGCAGTCTAACAGACGAACGTGGGTGCACGTGAATGCGTTTGGAGTGGACCTCACAAGTGCGCCACTTGAATTGGGTCTAATATTTAACTTTTAGTGTTTTATAAACCGGCTAAGAGTTGTTGCAAAATATTTGAAAAATATGCGTTTGTAGGCTGTATGAGTATTAGAACTATTGAAATGCCAGCGGCGTTATTTATGTAGTACTATATGCATAGACGTTAAAAATAAGGCTTTTGATTCGAAGTTAAATTAAATCGTGCTCTTAAAAAATTAACAAAGAAAAAAAAAAAATTTAGAGAAAAGATAGTAAAAAAGTATTAAAAAAAATTTTCAAAAATAATAATCTAAAACAAATACAATATTTTTTAAAACAACATTAAATCTATAGATTGTATAACTGTTATAAAAACTAGTGTATGATGTTTTTGCAACGCAGGAAATATTAAAAATGTTTACAATAAAATATTCGTTCAAAAGTTTTTTGAAACTAAGGATGTAAAGAAAAAAGTAACGTAACTGCTGAATTCAAAAATTTGGATACTAAAATATATAAAAATATACCTTATGTAAATTCGTTGGTGTTTGGGTTAAAGTTAAGCTGCTAAAGAAGTGAAATATAATATTAAAAATAGGGACTCTCAGAACTTAATTATTTTAACTCCTACATGTACTTTTTTAAACTTTATTCATGAAAAAAATCACATATATTGGAAAAAATTTTTCAAATCAGTTCTGTGCGCATTAGCTTTACAAAAGTAATTTTTTTTTATAAAAAAATTTGTAAATAATCAGCGTGATGGGCTGTGTTCGTCTGTCGCTCAGTTTTTGAGATACCGATCTAAAATTTTGCACATGTCCAAACAAGCCCCAAAAAACTGATCATTCAAAATTACGTTCTTGTATAGAAACATTTTCAATTTGACAATATATCTTCACGAAATTGGGCAAGGAGTATTGTCCACGGTAACGCTACACTCTCCAAACAAATTTTTCAGATTGGACTACCATAGCATGTAAATCAAGATAGAGATAGTTTTATGCCCTTATGAAGGATTATAGCTGCGGTGCAGCCGACAAAATTTTTTTGCTCCAAAATATATTATATATTAATATTCACGTAAAAAAAAATCGATGTGTCAGGTCTAAAGTTTTCTTCACTCCTGCAGAGTCTAGATTATTCTTGCTCATTGAAAATTTTAAAATGTTGAATTTGAACCATCTAAAAACACATACATAGGTATTTTTATCATGTATTCCACAAGCATCAAATCCCGACATAAACTTCAGTAAATTTATGTAGTCCTACCAAGCAACTTAGCACCTCAATTCTTCTGTAACTGATCAAATGATTTGAAAACCCACCAATACAAAGAAATCAAATGATTTGAAAATATAAACATCTGGCACAGAAAGTATTTAAGTTTATTTAAAGCTGAAAAGTTTACAATAAAAACTCGATAGAGTAGTGATGCAGAATTATTGACTATAACTCAGCGAACTGTAGTTTCATAAATTTTTCGACCTGAGGCCAGAAAGAAGAGGAAAGTTTTGTACAACCTGAGTTACTTAGCTCTGAAATAGGCTTCCTGATCTAGTAATTACGCATAAATATGCGGCAAGTTCGTTGCAGTCAACACCACCTACCCATACAGTTCCGACTCATTTTTGAAGAAGTTTAATATACTAGGCAATAAAAATTTAATAAAATTGGTGCGTCTGTTACCATTATGAATGTGTCCTAAAACTTAGTGTATTTGAGTTATTATGTATATGTAGAGACGAAATATTTAACGGTACCAAAAACCTATACTTCAGTTTCATATTCAAATTTTAAAAAAATTTAAAAGGATGTGCTACTAAAAGCATAATTTTGGGTTCCAAACTGTGATAGCTTTTACACTTTTTATTACATGTTCTTACTTTCCTATTTAATTATTTATTTGAAGCAAGAACGAGTAAAATTTTGGTAAAACTAAAAGCTAAGCCTCAACACCTCAAATAAGTGAAATTGTATTGGAAATCAAATATAAAATCACAGGTTAGAGTAGAAGCTTCATATAATAATCACTTACAAGGACATAAGGGCAACAATTTATAAATCGCTTTTTATATATTGAAAACCAAATCTTTGTTTAATTTTTCTCGTTGAAAGAACAAAAACAAAATATTTCAATAATTTATAGTGACTTTTTTATACAATTTTTAATTTACGAACATTTATTTTAGCAGCAAATGGTGTATAACTTTTTTTTATTTCATCAAATTTACTTTAACAAATCGAGTTGTTTACTTTCGCAACATTTTTATACAGCATTTATTATTTATTGCCCCTCAAAAGCTTTATGAGGAGTTTAATAATAAAATTTTTCAAAATTCGTTGCCAAATTCTCAAAAAAAAAATAAAAAGGATTAAAAAAATTTTTAAGTGGCTCAAAAAAAAAAAAAAGAAAACACAATTTTTAAATGCATATTCAGCAAATATTAATAATTTCGTGAACAATAATTCATGTGTTACGTGTTGCAATTTTAAAATACATGTGTGCAATATTTTCCACAAACAATAAATAAAATATAAAATTGTGTGTGTAACTAAGTGCATTTGTGTGAAGAAAAATAAAAAAAACACAAAATAAAATTGAATTGAAAGTTAAAATTGAACAATTGCTATTGGCACAGCTGCAGCAATAGACAACAATTGCTGCACAAAAACATACATTCATATATGTATACAAATATCAGCATGAGTGTACATGCCCACAAAAATTGAGCACATCCACACAGCGTTGACCTTGAAGGTAAGTGCATGCCGCTTTTATTATTATACATATTTCCAAATTTAACATATAAACTGCTGTGAGTAGCCACCACGGCATACAAAAATATACTATTTACATATACACATACACGCTGCTAGTATGTGTGGTTCATGTGAATTAGCGCCGCTATTTTTGACTCCAGTCTCGTTTCCGCTTTAAACTTTTCGTACAAATTATCGATCGTTTGGGTAATAAACACGCATACGTACATAGTCACACATATTCATATATAAATGGATGTGTTTGTGCGCGAAGAGTCCTTCGCCTCAAAACTTCGTTGAATAGCAACAAAGTCATAAGCTGTGTGTATGTATGCATATCTATAGGCTGTAATATTTATAGGCACTTAAACGCGCACAGTCTTTTGAGCCGACAAGCGCAACAACAACCTTGGTACCGGCAAGGACACATTGCAGATGATTTGTGCAACGCAGCAACAGCAGCTGACCTCCGGCTCCTCCGACTGCAGCCCGGAAATCAGCGGCATTTTGCAGCAGTACGCATGTTTGTCGCTGACCACAACAACAATTTCGCAAATTTTGCCGCATTGCAGCTGCCGGCTGCTTGTGGTGCAACATGTTGCTTGATAGATGTTGCAGCAACATGTGCATTAATGCTTGTTTGTTATTTGTTGTACCCTTCTTTGGGTATGGGAGTGGAAATAACCGATGCAACGAAATTGTGTAACGCAACGAATTTTCGTCACAATCGCAGTAAACTGAATGCAATCTTAGTGAAAATTTCACCGATTTTAAAAATATTTTTTAATTTTTTGGACAGATACCCACATGTTTTAGAACAAAAGAAGTTAGAAAATTGCCACCAGTTTTGTAGAATTGAAAGAAAACTTTGAAAGATAAAATAGATATATTAACTGTAAAAGTTTACAGTTAAAAACAAGTTTTGAGGAGGGTTGTTATCGCTTTACATTTTTTCAATGAAACTGAAATGTCTATGAAATTTTGCATGAAATATTGTTCAACGCTACAATTTTCGAACAAGTTGTACAGATCGAAGCCCTATAGTATATAGCTGCCATACAAACTGATCGATCAAAATCAAGTTTTTGTATGGAAACTTTTTTATTTGACAAGGGTATTAAGCTTAGTTTATGTTTTTTTTTGTTTTCATATAAAATGATTTAAATATGAATTTCGTACATTTTTGTATGATGCCTACATAAATCACCGGCTACGTGAGCCTGCTCTGACTGCAAATGACTCTGGCTGATGGCGGCCACTACAAGTGTTTTTGTTACAATTACGCTTTTAGTTACCATGTCATCGCACTTCGTTTCGCTTTCAATCTCTTCTCCACACTTGCGTTTTTCACTTGCTTATACTTCATATTTATAATTTGTTCTGCTGCAAATTCGATTTGTTTGTTTTTATATCAAAAATTGAAAAAAAAAGAGTGTAGAAGAATAACCTGTGAATGACTGCACCGCTGACACTTGCTAGCGACTGTCGGGTATTAAATGTAGATATGTATGTATATGTGTACTATACATATGCAGTCTTCTTCGCTTAACATCCATGTTGGCCCCCTCGCTGTGCCTTGTTGCTGCTAGTGGTGACAGCGTTGCATTTTTAACAATTCATTTAATTCGCTTCTTTTTGTTTTTATTTGTTTTCTTAACACCATGTCTTTTCGTACTTTTTCAGCTGTCTCGTTGCATTTGTCTTTCATTCATTGCTTTTGCCTCGGCTTTTAAGCGGCTGCCAGGCAAATG